TCCACGCAATCAGCAGGAGACACATGCTGTGGAGCGAGGCAGTGAGGAGGAGAGGAGGGCCAGAGAGAATGTGTCAGACTCTGTTCACAGCTTTTCCATTTCCATCATTAAAAACCTGGGGCCTAATCCTGCAACTACTTTAATCTCCTAATTCTGCACCCCTTTCTCTCTGCATACAGTACACTCCGATTCCATTCTCTCTCTCTCACTGTCTGCCTCGCTGATTTTAAACCGGGCTAAAGCTACAGAGCGAAAGCTTTCAGAGCCATTCCACCACACACACAGACACAAACACGCACACACACAAACGCACGCACATAATCAGACACACTCCCAGCATTGCAGTTGGGTCACTTTACTCCCATTTAAATCCTTCACAGGAATATTCGTCGATGAGCATAAGTGAGCATCAAGCAGCTTCATGCTCATTTCGGCCGTCTCAGTGATCCTTGTACCAGCCCCTGATTGTGATTAATGGTATGTAAGGGGATGTGCAGCTGCATCATGGGTAACGCTGCTATGTAACGGTACGTGGAGACGGGCAGAAGCACGAAGCGAATGGAAACATTACATGACTTGATTACCAAGCATCACATAAAAGTGTATTTGTGCAATGGCGCGGCAGATGGCCTGACAGTCCGATTTGTGAGCCAAGCGCCTCGTCCGCTACTTCTCTCTGTGGAAAATATGACATGGCCTGTCTGAATGTGCAATGCCTTGTTGCTGTTTTGCATACACTGCAGCGTGATTGGAGCAACCTCTCTTGCTCTGCATGGAAATTACAATGTCCCAAATATAGACACAAATACCAAACAGGCTTTGTGCAAGACAGTTGTATAATTCTACGAACTTCTAATAATGCCATGTCATCTAAATTCGGTCAGAACACAGCCTCTTCATTTTGACAGTCCTCTCAAGAAACTTTCTCCTCATCCTTGCTTTCCTTGCTGCATACCACTGCACTCACTTCCGTATTATTCTCTGCCTTTTGCGGATAGTTTTGTCTTTACGCATAGTAATAAGTGCCCTGCTGACATGCTACCCTGCAGGCCATCTGCTGTCATCCTAGTGGGGAGCGGGGCAGAGAACCCGACTTGACACAAGTTTAATCGACAGAGTCAGAGCAGTCTGGTGTGTGCTGTCCTCCTCTGACTGGTCCTGGTTTTTTAGGAACTACAGAATGGAGATTCAGAGGACCCAAAGGCGAAAAATATGAGCTGCAAAATCACTGCACTGTGTGAGCACAAATGAGGCAGCCACCCTGCTCCCCCTTCTGAGGTGAATATGTAGCACCACAAAAAATGTGCAGTATCATATCAGACAGAAGCATCCCTTGCTGAAATGTTGCTACACAGTAAGAGTTTTTTTCATACTACTGATTTATTATGTATAAGGACATTTGTAGAAATGTCTGCGAAACAAAGTAGTACTTAAGCATAAATGCATTCTCCCCTTAAAAGTCCTGACTGTAACACTCTTCTACATCTGGAGGTGCAATTGAGCTTAAGCTGTCCACTTTAAGGTTATTATTTGTGCTTAAAACACCTTTGAAGCACAAAGTACCAACAGGGGAGAAGACTGGACAGTCAGAGAGAAAGCTGCCATTTAAAAACCAATTAGGCCTTAATCCTGTTTGTTATGACTTCACCTCTAATGACAACTATAAGAGTGTTAAAACTCACCTGCAAGTCCCTGGTTAGCTGTGGTCTTATCTCTTGTTCTGCAGCAACACCATCAAACACTTATGTTTCACGAGTGCAGTATGGGTAGATTTTGCTCAAGTATATTTCAACTTATTTGCATCAGAGAAAAAAACTTCCAAAATAGCTTAGTTGAAGAAAATATGAAGATTTGGATGAGGGAATTCAAATCAGTTGGTTGCAGAGTTTACTCGTATCAGAACTTTTCTTTTGCAGCAAACCAGTTAAAGATTTTGAGTCTTTTTCTGTCTGATCTTCCCCAATAAGATCCAGCTTTAATTAACGTAAAACACTGTGTAATCTAGCTATCAATACCCCACCCGAGTCCACATCACTTTCTTTCTTAATCAACTTCTTTCCCTTAATTTAGCAAGTGTTTCTTGATCCTTTAGAACAAAACTTAGACAAAAGATCACTCAGCACTGTTAAGTTGTCTTTTTTTTTTTAAGTGAACAGCTTGTCAAACCAAAAGCAAAGTCTATGCATTTTTTATGCGGCCTTGAACAATTTCTCTACAATATTTCAGAGATATCTGCAAAAGCAAGAGACTGAAAACATTGCCTGAAGCGTCAGTGCTCACAGTGGCTACTGATCTTGTTGTCTACAGTCCGCAGTGTGTGACTATCATTATTAAAACTTTACTCAAAGAACTCCCATCAAAACATCAGAGAAGCTCCTCGGGGAACGCTACAGCTGCCAGTCCTGATGTCTTTTTTCCCTCACGCCTTATGGCGATGATTTAACACCCCAAGTCTCTTTAGTTATTCACTTCCTCTTGTTATCATTACAAATAGAATTATTATTATTATTTTTTTATCAGAAAGGTTAGCTAGACGGAGAATGCTTTTGAGCATTTTTAGCACTGCATGCAAACTAAAAAAAAAAGATCAGTCTTGTATGAGAACGAGAAGAAGATAAAGTCCTATTTCAGAATTGCAAATGTTCAGCAGTGAGGGACTCAGGCAGGGGACAGACAATATTGAACAATAAAAAATGACTTGCAGGGATTTTTTGGAAACAAGGGCTTAAAATCTGCAGAGAGGAGGAGTTGCAGAGAGCAGTTTCCTTGGTCCTTCACTCCCGCTGTGTCAGCCTGAGTCACTGAGCTCTCCTGGCATCGTGTACTGCTGAGGAGGCTCCTCATCTCACTGAGGCTGTTCATCATCATCAGTCCCTGTGTACCCTGTGAGTATGTGTGAGTGTGAGAGTGTGTGTGTGTGTGTCTTGTTTTTTGAGTACCCCATGAGGCACCACAAACTCTTGAGTAACAAACAAACACTGCGGCAACAACAGACACCCGCCCGAGTCCCCGGCTGTTCCTAAATAAACCAGAAAACATTGTCTTCTTTTCTCTTTGTGTCCAAATGGGCCGAGCACATTAGAGATGCTGACATAGTCAACACAGCTCGACAAGTTCACACATCAAAACGTACGGTGGAAAAACTGCAACTGCCAGTCCCAAAAACAGACTTTTTCTGAAGCTTTGTTGAATTTTTTATAGCTGCAAAGGATCAAATGACTTTGTGTTCGTGGAAAGGGGTCATCCTTGGTGGCAAACCCAAACCTAAAACAAAATATCAGACAGACAAAGTTTGTGACTTGCCGGTGAACTCAGTGGAGGATTGAGAGGCAAAAATCGTTGCTAGAAAAATTATTCTGAATGAGAGCTGAATCGAAATTTGACTTTCTGGATGTTCAGTGTGTCGACACCATAGACTGTATATACTTGACTGTATATACTGTGGACAACTTGGTACCGCCTGTATACGGATTTGAAGCCAAAAAGCTCTCGGTATTTCCGGGATTTTTCTTCATTTCCTGAAACCAGCGCTGCGCAGTAACGATGCGCGCATTCGGCCGCGCAGTCGCTGAGAGTCGCTGTGATGACGCTCGGCTCAAACTGCGTATTCCCCGGGAGAGCTACGCAATCCCTGAACGCCCACAGGCTGTATCAGGTGTTAATCATAGAAAACATGAACCCCCTAATAACTTTTAAAAACGGAGCTTCACAGAAAAAAGAGGACTTGAGCACAAACCAGTCTTACAGTAACTACATGTCAACATCACAAGCAGGGGGAGAAAAACTGATGTGCTGTGTAATAAATTTCTAAAGTTTGTCCACAGCTCCATAGGGATTGCTGGCGGAGGCGGGATTTATGACCTATACTGCAGCCCATCAACAGAGGGTGCTGTTCTCGGAGTGGCTTCACCCAGGGAGGAGGCAGACTCTGTCCATTCTATATACAGTCTATGGTCGACACGCAACTGTTGGCTAACAAGTTACCATGACCAGAGGCAGATTAGACTTCTCAAAACGCGGCACTAAGCCATGATGCAGCAAGATTATTTGCCACTTTGCTGGTAGAGAATATATAAATAATAAAATATGATATAGCCAATATGTTAAAGGGACACCGGCAGTAAAAATTGCTTGCCCTATGCACTGCGAGGTCCAACCTGGGGACCTTTGCAGCAAGTTATTCTCACTCTGTCCAGTTTCCTACTTGATGCAATGTTTCCCTTCATATTTATGAAGCTGCAAAAAGTCTTTGAGATAAAAATATAAAGAAAAATATGGACTGCTCTTCAGGCACAGACTTAACAATAAGCAGAATTAGCTTCTTTTTCTGAAGTCCACAAGTGTCAAGTCCCCAATTCAATCAAAATCACTATACTACATCACATTCACACATTAACACACATATTTGTTGCAGGAGAATGCCACATGATGTGTTTATCAGTAAAATGTGCATCCACACACAAATGGCTGTGCCACCAAGCACAATTCAGGGTTCATTTTTATGCCCTTAGACTGTATAAAAGCAAGAATGGCACAAAAGTATCTGACCTAAAAAATTTTTCCAACTTCCTACTTTCTGACTTCTTCCTAGTCATTCAGTTATTGCTACCTTTTTATGTCAACATTCAAATGGGGTTGATGCTGGGTGGAAAATGTAGCCCCCTTTCCTGTTCAACAACGATCTCAACATTCCTGTGAGGAACTTCAGTTCATGCAGATTTTGGTGTTTCCTGTAGACAAAGGGCTACCTCTTCTCTCTTTGCTATGGATAGACTCTACAGAGAAGGAATAACAGAGAATCTTACCCTGCTTCATTTTAACACGTCAGAAATATTTGTCATGCAAAATGCATTTTCTTAACTGAACTGACATATAATGTACTGCTGAGGACAGTTGTTTTTTGTAACCAGTGGAAAAATCCTCACTGTGACATTAAAAACTTATAAAAAAAATTCATGCATGTTTACACTGTTTTAAAGTAGTTGATCAGTCAGATAATATTGCTGTAATGAGACACTCTCAGATACATGAAGTTCAGTTTAATTGTCACTTGAGCACTGCTAAACGAGACAGGAGTCTTAATATGTCTAATTCTGGATCAAAAAGGGTATTACTCATCACTAATAATGTGGTATTGAAAGTGTTAATTTGGATTTGGTTGAGGACTTCATTCAGTTAGAAATGAAAGCTGTGTCTATAACTTGTTGCTTCTTTGGTTGGGAGGGGCCCATGACAGATATCTGAACTTCTGTCTCAGTTTTGACTGTTTTTGCTGATCTGTAAAGTCCCTCAAATTATATAATGACTCTTTTAACAAAATATTCCTCATTTCAAGGGTCTGCAAAATATTTCTGCACATGGTTTCTGTGTAGACAAAAAAGTAAGACTGACAGTGTTGCAGAGCGCGTCAGGATGAGTGGCGTGTGATTACAGTTTTGCCTGTGAATGTAGTTTCTAATTCTGGCAGTAGCAGCAGCAGCAGCTTCTCCGTGGTGGTCTCTCATCTTATTACGGTGCCTAAGGAATTATTACCTCTAAATTAATTGGGAGAGCTGAACAATGCACTTCAGAGCAGACTGCTCTTGTGTCATCCATTATGTATGGGTCCTCTGACGGCTTTGAAGTGATCATCACACACTGCCGTATTCTTCTCCTCGAGTTTTGTAAAGTCTCTATTATGGCCCGTGGCTGCGTCTCTGTCTCCGACACATCAAGGTGAGCGGAGAGAGCGCTCTCCCCTTCAGCCGCAGCTATTACAATGTACGGACCTAATTCAATTTAAAACCACCACTAACAGAACAAGTTGAAGTTACTGAGATTTAATCACAGTCTGCTGCGCTGACAGCCCTGGCTGAACGCAACCAATTAATAGCAAGTAGAATTAATGGATTAATGGAGGGCTGAAAGAGCAAAATGCTAATTCCTGCCTGTTTCCCCTCAGTCTCAAACCTGCATTTACAGCTTTTCATTGTAAACCTCTGAATGAGAATGTATTTGAGATTTAGGTATAAGCTTTTTAGTGTGCATTAAAGCATTTAGGCACGTAAATCCCTAAGTAGATGTAATAATTAACCCAGCAATCCACATTTAAAGCCCCCTACTGCAGTAAGGGACAAACAAATATAGTGGTGTTGTGAAATCTTGTTTTTAACTGCATAGTAACTATTGGCACCATGATATTTTAGTGGCCAATGAAGCACAATTTAATAAGGCAATGAGTGAAAGCCCATAGAGAGTTTTATCTGCTTGATTTTCCCTTTAAATTAGTTCGTATTCCCCTTTTCCTCATTTACTTGCTATATTACAACCAAAAAGAACATCTAATCTGGTTTACCACCTTTGACAGCTTCCCCAAAAGACCTAAATCAAACTGTGACACTGAAGATTGTCAATTTAAAACCTTGCTTTTTGAGCCTCTGCGGGGAAAAGTACTTGCACACTCAGTGTTTCTCATGCAGATCTATCCGAGGGAATATTGAGCTGTTAGCTGATTCATCACACCCCTGTCAAATAACCTCTTACTTTAAGCATCTCCTTCTTTAGTGTCTGTTTTGCATTGCACGGTGGGAAACAAACATCCCCCAACATGAAACCCCGAAACAGAACAATTTTATTATGCAGACTTGGTTGAATTATTAATAATTGGACTTGTTCCTCTCCAGCATCAGCACACTTTGTATTCAAAAACTTCTCAAAATTACATTTTGATATGGTCCATGCAACACTGCTGCAACAGAGAAGATCTCAGCATGTGCACTGAGTTGCACCATGTCTCACGCTTTTCACACCCTAGATTTCCCCGGACAAAGTCTTTCGAAGAGGACACAGTACACCAGCCTTCCTGAACCTGTTTATTATCTCTGTGAAGCGACCTTGATCTGTTGATCTTTATCTCAAGTCATTCACAAAGCTCAAAAGGCCCATTGAGTCATGCCAGTCATTTCAATATCGCAGTTCTCTTGTGGTCTACGCTGAGTTTTGGGACAAGCCCACATAATTGGATTTTCTAACCTCAGTCTGTGGACACTGCCAGAGAGGTTTTGGGAAATTAAAATCTTCCTTGTGCACTGAATCAATATAAAAAAAAAAACAATCCCCACACACTCTTAAAATGTGCTAGACATGCACAGAAAAGCAATTAACCCACTGCAGGAATTGATTTGGTCCACTTCAGCTTATCTCTCTTGGCATGGCCAGGCTGTTACATTCCCGCTGGGAAGATCAAAAGTTTTTTTTTTTTCTTGTTTCAAAACCTGACAACACAACGGGATTAGCACTGATTTTATCTTCACCAAGCAATTACCTGCTATGGTAATCAATGCAGGACTGCGGTCTTTAATAGTCTGTGGCATTGCCTCCTTTGCAGGATGTGCAAATTACTGTGATTCATCACAGAACCAGGCTGCTCAGCCAGCGATGCTAAGTAATCAATTAGCATTAACTGTACCCACAGAAACACACACACACACACACGCACACACCTTCATGTTGCTTTTCGCTACTATTCTGGATGCTTAAGTAGCTCTTTTTTTCCTGATGGAGAGGTTATTGGGAGTTCTCATTAAAGAAAAATCAGCCTAAAGCTAGAAATGAATAAGCTGTAAGACACAAGTTTCACAAGTTCTCTCTCAAATGGCAGACTACCAGACCCAAAAACTCAAGCTGCCAACAGCAGTAAGACATAGTGTTGAAGCTGCCACGTCCAAGACTCCAAGAAATAAATTAACAACTTCTAAATTTGGCATCAAAATGTCAGTGTCTACATCAGCCATGTTCCCACAGCAGCAGTTTTCCTTTGACATCACACTCTCTGTAGGAAATTCAAACAAGCCTATATGTCTCTTCGTTGTGTTTAAGATGTGATTAAAATTCAGGGTAAGCCTGTTAGGCAAACAATGGTCATATCATTGCTTCCTGGTTGATCAACTTAAGTGAATGAAGTGTGAAAATCAAGATGAAATCGGTCCATTTCTCTAGTTAAGACAACATATACCACATCCAGTTCAAGTGTCAGCTTCTTCAGCTAATATCAGCCTTTGGTGTAAAGTGGCTGTAAACTGATTATTTCATCTAGAAGTTTGCTATACAACAGAAAAAAGCATAAATAATGGGAATCTGGAGTACCTGGGAATATACCTCATAGCCTTAAGTTTTCCAAAAAGAAACCTATCAACAAGAAGGTTTTAGCCTTGGATCATTAAACCAGTTCACGATTATTTTCAATTCAGATCAGCAAATCCACAGACCAATGAACAGGTTCCTACAGCAGGCGATCGCCTTGGTGAAGAAAGCTGATCATTATCCTCATCTAGGCATCCTGTAAGAGGAAAACTACAGTTAAAACTCCTGATTGGTCTCTCCATACTCATAGGCTCTCTTACTTGCTTTGACCTGAGGCTCATGAGAAGTATTTTCTCAGTTGGTGGGCATGTACAGTCACAGCAATATCCCCGAATTTAATTGGCTCCAGTTACACAGTCCTTCCCTTTAATGACTGGACCATGATGAGAGTCACAATGACTACATCCCCATTTATTTGTAAGGACAGAGGCCTGTATACATTTACATTTTCACACAATAAAAATTTGAATTATTTATTGTTCTTCAAAGAGTGAAGAAAGGTGAAAAACAACCCTGATCCAGGGCTTTGAGGCAAAGATAAATGAGGTTAACTTTGGTACAAGTGTTGTACTCCTGCAGGCTGCTGTTAAACACAGCGATTGCTGTGTTTAACAGCAGGAGCTGAACGCTCACTGATATGAATATAAGTGAGCACAACTACACCAAGGACGCTTGCTATCAGGATGCACTTATTTTCTAACACATAAATAGAAATGATGGATTATAAGAGTCCTGAGGTGAGAATGAGCTGCTAATATGTTTGTGATTTGTTAGATAATCTTAGACCGTATTTCCCTACGTTCATTAACAGGCAGGACTCGAAATAATAAATGACTATTTAAAAAACAAGTGGAGGTAACTGAGGCGTGAACTCGCTACAGAGCAAAATAGACTGGAAATGTAGGAGGACAAATGTCTTTGTGAGGCTGGAGTATTAGAAAAGACCTCTGAGTTATTAGGTGGGGTTGGAGGTTAGAGAAACAGCCTCAGAGAAACTGATTACATCCAGGACAAGGGCTTCTGCTCCAATGAGCTGCAATGAACACATCTGGCCATTCCACCCTGTTCAAATTTGCCCTAAATCTTTTATGCACGTGCACCAGCTCATGGAGAAAAAATCAATGGCAATTCCCACCTGTTCCTGTCTCCTGGCGACCCACGCCAGCCCTCGCCAGTGTAGCATCTCACATCCAGGGGTTTTTTAGACAAGCACACAGCAGCTGAGCAGTGCTGAGCAGGAAGGAGTGGAGACAGGAAGAGTCAAAACAGGAAAAGATCTGTATGTTTCTTTATCTGACAGCCTAAAAAACTTTCAGGGGAAATAGGAGGAGAGTTCAGAGAGCTGTGGGGCTCTTCCTCTTCTGGTGTCACAACATTAGCTGTACTGGATTGTTCATGTGTCAAAGATTACAAGTAACTCTTAGTTAGGGTTCACTTAAAATTCACAGGAAACAGTGATTTATTTAGATCAGTTTGATGTTTAATATCAAACTTATTAGCTTCAGTATTTATTCCTCACAAGGACTGCAGAATTTATAAGGAGGCATTAACATTCAGCCTGAATGCTGAAAAAAGGAGAAAAAAAAAACAAAGTTATGAAGAACTGAGGGGTTTATGTAGTAAGATTAAAAAGACAAATTGGGTCTGCTTAAGTCTGAGTTTTCAGTGTCTCAAAGCCAACTCTCTTTTAACAAGTTTCAGCTTTAAATAGACTGAAAAGTGCCACCCTTTTAGTCATTATTAAATAAAAGTTTTATCTTATGGTTTGAATCTGCTAAAATAGCTAAAACATTTGAAGTTGTCAGTAATTTAATGTGACTTCTATTGAACCAAATGTTACATGTTTTGTATTACTCATGAAGTGCACTAAACACAGTTTTTGCCGGCTGCTAAAAACATGTGCATCATTGTCTGAAGTTTAGAGTTTCACAGATGACAAAATAATATTCAGTTGGGAAATACAAGTATTAAATTGCGAGATAATACAATAACTTCCCAAAGGCTTTGTTTTGTGTACAACTTCTAGTTTTTACTTTTTTCCCTGCTTGTGCTGCATGATGTTTTGCCACTTGGTCTGTCCTGCTGGGAGGTGATACTTGTAATCTGTGCACCACCCAGTCACTAACCTTACCTCAAAGTAATTTAAGTGAACAGATGTCTGACACAACCAGTGGAGTACTGAACGATGGACCTACAAGGCCAGAGCAAGGGCAGGCAGAGTTTCTTGTCGAGTGTAGGTGAACTAAAAAAGCAAAGAATCCAAAGGGGATGGCCAAAGGCAAGGTAAAAAAACAGGCAGTGGTCAAACACAGGAAAGACTCTGGAGTCAGGAATGCTGGAACACACAAAAAACCGGCAAGGAGAGAGAAGACACCACACTGACAAACAGGAAAAGAAGAAATAGTAAGTCCTAGGCTGACACACAAGTCAGGGTACACCAGGAGCAAGACTTTAAAACTACAGAGACAAAAATTTAACATGACAGCATTAAATATAACAAACCAAAAGTACGACCCCTGTAACCCCTGTTCAAGTGTCATTTTCTTTTTTCTTTATTTTGTAAAGTAGCACCATATCCATGTGAACATGTGACCTTTTTCTCCTTTAGATACACGTCATAAAACATCCCTCATGTTAAAAGGTGCTGGTAAATACCAACGATGATTTACCAAAGTGGATTGAAGTTGGCTATATCTCATGACTTTAGTGTCATGAGGGTTAAAGATGGGGATTCACAGGGAGCAGAGTAAAGTACTGGAAAAACATAGCAGGTTAGTTAATACCTGAGGCCGAGTTGTGTTGCCAAAGTCGAATTCAAGTTATTTATTTGTCAAACAGCCCAGAAATTTGGTTGTATGATGTCCTGACATGGCTGGCACAGGAGAGTGGCTTCAAATGACTGGTTTGGAGTAATGCACATTACCAGAGCCAGTACACACTGATTTCATGTGTTTTAGTTTTCTTCATATCATATTAAACATTAAACTTCACAGTCCCATCCCTCCAATCAGCAGAAGTTAAAGTACGTTTCTGGAAGTTATTTTCTCCTTCAACACTTAATCTGAGTTTTCCATTCCTGATCCTGATTCATTCCAGCAATATTATGAAAAATTATTAAAACTAAGATGTTGTTTCATTGATCAACCGAAACAAACCCATACTGTCTTTTGATCACGACCAACAAATACTGAAAAATAAGCACATTTCCTGTCTAAATTATTTAGACCCTATCCTTTAATTCAGATGTGAGGTGGTGTTATCTCCTCACATCTCCACACTTTCTTCTCATTTGATGCCTTCCATGCCCTCAGACGTGATGAAACTGTCTCCTCACTCTTTCTGGTGTGGGTGGATTACATCAGTATTCTCCGTCCTCCTTTCCACAGCAGACATGAGCTGACATACAGACAGATCTGTTTTATTCTGAGTCCTGCACAACACAACAGGGAACAGAGTCTGGACCACATCCTCCGTGCTATATGGTAATCCGAGCAGATTGTTGGATAAACACAACCCAGACTAAATCCATAGCTCAACATTTTCTTTGGTTCAAGCCCCGAGGGTGAGGGATCAGCTGTGCATTCATCAGCAGCCCAATTTGCTTCTTTATGAGGCGGACGCTACTGATAAGAGGCACTCAGGATGCCCACTGGTTGTATAGAAACACATGAATTTATGTAAGAGCTGCTTTGTTATAATTGAGGTGCTGTTAGCCTCCAAACATCTCTGGCTCTCATGGTTAGACACAAAATGAGTCTCTCGGCTGCTGTTAAAGAGGAAACTGTGTTATTATGATTTGGTAAATATATCAGGGGACGGTACCTTCAGTTCATGGAAAACAAAGATTCAAGATTGGATTAATCAGATTAATGGTGCAGCAACACCAACCCACGCATAGATTGAACGGAAACACAGATACCAGTGGTGGAAGAAGTTTACCCTTAGTCTAACACGTGCCTTACATATACAGATTTACTGCAGTGAAATAACCAACAAAGAGCAACATAGTACAGGATTATCACTATACAGAGACAAACTGCTGTTCTGCCTCTGTAAACCATGCCATATAATCAATAAAGCAAATAGGTTTGATCAATGTTCTGCAGAAAACAGTAGTCTAGCTTGCGTGCAGTTTCTCATCAACTGGGCAAAGCTGACTGACATTCATTTGGTGCTCAACCAACAAGAGGTCTCGTTTGAGTATGTAACAGTACTATATGGTGATAGTTTTTGTTTTTATTGCCAAAAAATGAGAAATACCCAAAAAACATCCTGTTACATTCTACTTTTTTGGTACCCTTCTGTCAGGGTACCAAGTGTGCCAATTTGACCCTGAACTGCCATGATTGAGAGGGAGGAAGAGGAAGAAGCGCTCATAGTGACTTAAACCTCTCCTAACCTGATTTTCTTTCATCCATGAACTTACGTTTCTCAGGGAATCATGAGTCTGTTTTGTGGACCCTTTTATTCATATCAGGAAATGCTTTCAGCTGTAAAAAAAACTGTCAGGGGTTCATTAAAAACGGTTGCTTAATTCCCACACAGTCATCAGCGGAGCAGTGAGAGGGGCACAGCGATGGTGGCAGTCAAAAGACAAAATATTTCCTGTTAACAGGATGTGATTAAATAATTAATATGGTTTATCTACAGCCAGCATGATTAATGACAACTTCTCTCCCAGTGAGAGTTCACGCTGAGCTCAGATAAAGTTACTTCTTTCATCAAATAACTGTCCCTTGCACAAAAGCATTGTGGGAGGAAAAGAGGGTCTTTTGTGGAAGTACAACCACATTATCCAGAAGGGAATGATGACGTGTGGTGCCCCCCGCACATGATGGATTGATGTCGTCACCGGGGACCTACACCAATTGGGCCTGTCGCTTGCCGTAGCCGAACCCCTAGCACTGGACCGATCCCAATGGAGAAGATTGGTGAAACTGATTGGCTCTACGCATGACGCCGTCCCTGTCGCCGACCAAGAGACCTGATTATGATGATGATGATGATGATGATGATGACAACCACATTATGGTTTTCATGCTAGATATAAACATAGCTCATACAGAGAAAATACAGTGGTCAGTTCATTATTATGAACAAACATCAGGCTGCTCTGAGGTTGTGTTCACACCAAATGAGAAAAATATCATTTACTTACTGAATTTTCTCGCCCCTAAACATATCTACCTGCTGAGTTACGACAAACATAGTGGAGTTTGACCACATTATGAGGATCTGCTGTGTTTAAACAATTTAACAGATAATCTGATCTCCTCACTCACTTTCCTCTCACTAGGTGAGTTTTTGGCTATGGTGGCATGAATGATTAGCTTGAGTTTAGATTGCTATGGCAAACATAATGATGGTGTTGCAAATTTGCATTATTTGTGCATATAACCCACCCACTGCTATTCCTGCTGCACCACTGGCACTACCTGCCAAAAACTTGCACCCGATCCCATCTTGACATTAGCTTTACATGTAAAAGTGTGCAATGATTTTATTCACATTTGGTGTGGCTGTCACATAGCCAACTCACTTCCCATCTGAAGCACCAGGGTAGGGTACAGTTTGTAAACGTAAGGAAGATTAGGGTTTGCCGAACCAAACCAAACCATACTGTACTGTAGGCCAACTCATACAGACCCACCTCACAAATAACAAACGAGCCTTTCAACGTACAGATGCTGGGAGTTATGTGACTTTTTGCTATTATTATGTCATGAATGAAGACACTGGACAAATAAAGAAAAAACATCACCAGAATTAGAAAAAAAACACCCTCTTGTCTACTTAGATGACAACAGGATGATCAATTCAGACACTGGAGACATCTTACTAGTCCAAAATGATGTCTTGTTACCACATGAAAAGTCAGGGATTAACAGAATCAGTATTCTTATTATTATAATACTACTACTACTACTACTACTAATACTACTACTACTACTACTACTACTACTACTACTAATAATAATAATAATAATAATAATGATAATAATAATATTGATAATTATAATAATAGGAAATAAATAATAAAGCTATTCTTTAAGTCTTTTTGTTTCTGGTTAGACTATTATTTAAAGTATGACCTCTGTATGACCCACAGGAGCAAAAAGGGCTCTATAGATTGACTTCTTGTTATTTTAAAGCCTGTGCCACTAAAGCCAGAGAAGACAATTTACAGCAAGTAGCCAAAAAAAAAAAGTGCATTTTCAACATTTGATACAGAAAAGATTCACAGTGAGTGAAATATTTGGTTGTTAATAGTCAGCAGGTTGGAGCTTCAGTCAGAAAGAAACCCCCTACTGTTGTTTGAACACTGTTTTGTCAAAGTTTAATGCTACAAACTAATATCAAAGCAACTGTTGGAATAGTATTATAACAGTATAATTTCTGCAGGTGTAGAATGGTGTGTAATGTCGATGAGGTGCAAACAGGGAAGCTTATTATTCATCTTATTATGCATAGGCATGTATATTATGATGGAGACACACTGTGGAGTGCCCTACAGTCAATCCCACAGAGCCCACGCTCAACCTCTTACCTCTGCACCCTTAGACATTGATTCAGGATTAGATTGTCTGTCGTGTGGTCATGGTGTCACTTTGCAGACTATAAAAAATGTCCTTGGTTTCGTGTCTCCCACCAGCTGGAGGAGTTTACATCCAATGTGGAACAAAAGATAAACAGAAGCTGAGGGAAGCTAACAAATCTAACCAAAGACCGCAGCTCCTACATACTGTTTACTGAGGCTCACAGGGCCGTTTCACTGTTTAACTGAGGATTTCCGCTTGGGAGCTTTCCCCTATGTGAGCATGCATGCCAGCCCATTTTCCGCTATGATAACATTTACTTTGCTGCAGGTGGAGAGTTAGCAAAACACTGTGTGATGTGAACGCTGCAATATATTTCCCAGGGATGGAGGGAAAGAATTTATCTGAGAAAATCTGGCTGCCTCGGCCCCTGAAGAGATGAAAGTTAATGGAACAATTTGTAATCAAGTCACATCACATTCAGCCTATGACAGGTGGCTTTGCAGGACTTTTGTTTTGAGTGGTTCACAGCTCTGTCTTTGCTCACCAATAACAGTGCATTTGCACGCCAGTGGGGACGAGCTGAGTGCTCACATAGGAACTGAAAACATGTCAGATCCTCTGCTGGATCAAAGCTGCCATCAGTCTCACTCCTTCAGGAATGACAAAACACAGACTGTCACATCTGGCTCACTGGCTGCTGCAGCCTCTGCAGAAGCCCAACCACAATCTTTAAGTCCTTATCTCTAACATCACATTATTTCATCTTTGCGATTCTCTGCCACACTCCTCTTGGCTTCCTTTTCTTATTTTTGGCTAATATGAGCAGCAGGTTGAACCTAAAGCTACAGATCAGGCAACATTTGTGCTCGTGCATGGGCCCTGCAGGGGAAGAGAGAAGGTGAGTTGAAATTAGTACAGCAGAGATCCATGTTTGCGAGTGTTTACATCTTCAGGGATGTGGATATATACTAAAATTGCCTCAGCCTTGCTCAATAAAGTAAGGCCAGAGGTTGCCTGAGATAGAAATGAATTGCTTTGGACGGAGTAAAAGCTTCTATATGCAAACACACGGCTGTGTTTACTGAATGTAAAGAGCTGTAGCATCTCAGTGGCACTGTGATTCATCCATGTGTGTGTGTGTGGGTGCAGAGAGTCAGTTGGAGATGGAATGTAATTGCTCCTGATGTCACTGCAGTTTCTCCCCTTATGTCAGCGTGTGAATGATCAACCAACAACTTTTTTTTCCTGTTTCGTTCTCAGCGACCTCAAGGAAGCAACATGTTTCCCTTCATTTCTGTTTTTGCATAACTTAACATACAGAACAGAGCAAAGCAAAGCCCGCAGCATTGCTCATTAGGAACAAAACTATTTCTGAAGTACTTTTTTAATCATGTTGGATAATAGGAAGGTAACACATGGACCGACTGCATCAGTCTCCTGTCTGGGTGGCAGAATTAAAAGTGTACACAAGTGATTAAAAATACATTAGCGTGAGCAGACGTCTCCTGACTTCACTCTTCGCCGGTCCCGCGGGCTTCAGCGCCTGATGCATGAAACAAGCTAGTATTTGTTTTTGTCCAATGCAGGTAGCGTCAGTTCCCACGGGAGGTTCTCCGTTAATGACTTAGCAGAGAAAGTGCGTGGGTGTAGGGTGGGTTGGGATTAAAAGAGAAGGGAATAAAAGCAAGAGCTGGAGCTAATCACCAAAGGCTAATTAGTCTTTCAAATTTATGCAGGCGTGTTTCAGGTTTCCAGTCTGGAGAGATTTCATGCAATCTGTGCGATTTCAAGGTAACTCATGCGATGACATTGATGTTTGGTAATATCTAATTATTTATGCACCTGACTTCTCAAAAGCAGATGATGATTTTTTTATGTAAAATAGCTCTTAAAACTCAGGTGTTGATTAATTTAAGGAATTCTGGGATGAAAACTATTTCCCTTGTAGCAGACAGGAACATAAGAAAATGTGCAGTATGGTGTATGAAGCTGAGGGCTAGCTTGGCTTGGCATAAGTTTTTTAACCCTCCTCCTGTGTTAGGGTCTGCACCGACCCGTTTTTGTTTTTAAATGCTTAAAAGAACCACATAAATTTGTTTTTTTTGCACCAAGACTTTTTGACTTTGTCAGGAACCTCTATTTCCACAAAATAAAATTTAAAAAACTAAATTGACTAAATTATAAAATGCTCTTATTAAAATTATGGCACTTGTCGTGTTAGGGTCGCTGTTGACCAGCTTAGATCAATATCTAATAATTAGAACAAAAACTGAAATCATATGTTCACTGCCAGGCACCACACTGACATTCAGATCCTCCTCCAATCATGTGAGATTTAGGAAATTCTAATTTTTCCATGTTTTTCCCTGCACAAAAAACAACGTTGGGCATGTCCAGACATGTGAGATCAGTTCAGTATAGATGTCTGTATAAAGGGTATACAGACAAAAAAAGGTCCAGAGGACCACAACAAAAATATTATCAGCAATAATTTCATGGAAAATGAAGCTTAACAAAGTAACCTAGAGATGAGAACCACATTGGATGATAGAGAATTGTTTTTAGTGAAATTTACAGCTGATTTAAGACACGGGTCTCAACTGACTCTTAACATAGTGGGTGCGTAGTAAAAGCTAACACAGGAGGAGGGTTAAAATAACAGCACATATTTCAGTTTGAAAGCTGTAAAGCAAATATATCAAGTTCCGTTTATAGGCTTATGTGCTGATCTTGTTTTTTTACAGATGCAGTGTCATCATTATGAGGTTACTAAAGATGTAAAAATGATATTGGTCCATAGTGTAAAATAACCCATCCCTCTATGTAACTGTGAACAGGAGAGCCAAAATGTGTTTCCTCGATATGTCAGCCCACTCTCTATCATGCTGGGGTCTAACTTCTGTGCAGGTCTATTGATTTTTTTTTTTTTTATCACGTTGGCAACTTAAAACCTGCTCTGAGCCGCATTTCCAGCTCATGTTCAGTGTGACTTCAGTTGTTATTTAAGACCCTGGGCTTGTGTTACTATTAGAGTCCATTCGTGAATCATTCTGAAAGCTTAGGCCTCAAACATGGCCTGTTTACTCCCTGATTGAATCTGTGCCCCGTGGTCACCTTGCCCACCAGCCACTCATGCCCTATTCAGTCCTCAGCAGGCTTTATATGTGTC